CTTTTTGAAACTGTTTCAAGGAAAAAGAACCCTTTTGAATTGGTCAGCATTCTTCCTTAGTTCCACTGCCACACTATTCAGTAAGAGTACGTTTTACTTCTAAATTCCAATATGACCAAAGACCAATCTACGCGGAAAAACTCGGTTTCTCGGTCAAACTTCAACTCTCCCAGTCTTTTTCCACAGCCCCTCCTCTTTGTCAAGTATTCAAATCATATAGATTAATACTCAAAGGTGTCTGTCTCTTTAAATTCAAATCCATCACTCTGCTTCTTCCTCAGCACTCAGCAGCTGCGGCTTCTCTCATTTTCAGTAGCGTCTTAGCAGTTAGCAGTTGCACCCAACAGCGTAACCTCAGTTTAGTTGCCCAGAAACAAACTTCCAAGTCCTCCTTCCAAAATCACTCCACTCTGCAGCCTGGCAACTTCTTCATCGACCCTTTTGAGTTTGACAAAACATTTCCAAATTTTTTCTGCTCCACTTCTGCTCCGTCTCCTGCTTATGCTGCAAACTGAAAACTTCGACAGCAGCAAACTCGCGGACCGAGCGTCACTAATATAGCACTTGGATGAGATAAGCCATTTAAAGAAATCGAAGGCATTGTTCTTGAAACAGCAGTTAGTTGGGAACTATATCAAGATGGAGTACGGATCAAGCTGGGATTACTACACGCTGGTTAATGAGCTAACTCAAGGGATGGAGCAAGCTAAGCAGCTCAGAGTTCACTTGAGCTCAGGATATATGGAGCCTCAAGATTTGCTCTTGCAAAGGATCCTATCTTCTTATGAGAAAGCTCTCTCGATCCTCAAGTGGAATGGTGGCGGCTCGGTAGGACAATCACAGCCTACGCCACTGGCATCTGGCGCCCCGGAGTCTTCAATCTCGGTGGAGGGCAGCCCTCAGAATGAGGAAGCGAAGAACAACTTCAACGATTATCAGGACCTCAGAGATGTATCTAAGAAGAGGTGAATTTCGTCGAACTCAAATCTTATCACAACGCTTAAGTTTATGATAGGATGTCACTATGCTAAAAAATTCGCCATTAATCTTGCAGAAAGACACAGCCCACATGGACAGAACAAGTGAGGGTTAGCCCTGAGAACGGACTTGAAGGACCTGCTGATGATGGCTATAGCTGGAGAAAGTACGGGCAGAAGGACATTTTGGGAGCCAAATATCCCAGGTGAGCGCGGTCAATTTCCTTTGTCCTCCCGCATAAAAGTCATTGATAAAGCTACACGCTCGCTTATTATTTAAAGTTCAAACAAACAACTGTAACAAGTACACGACCGATGCGTACATCCAGCTGACCTGACTACCTTAACTAAACTGCACTAAAATATGTAAAACACTCTGCAAACATGAAAGTAACCCTTACCTAAGAAGGTGCTTGCTTTTCAGATAAACAATCATCTGCACGAAATGTAAATACTAACCCCTGTTTTCAATTTATCTGCAGAAGCTACTATAGATGCACATACCGCCACATGCGAAATTGCTGGGCAACAAAGCAAGTTCAGAGGTCTGATGATGATCCTACTCTATTTGAGATCACTTACAAAGGGACGCACGTATGCAACACGGGCACCAGCATTTCTGTTCCACAACACCCATCACCAGCAAAGCAAGAATTTAAACATAGTTACAATCACAATAACCACCAACAACCTCAACAGCCAAACCAGATCCTAATGAATTTTCGAGCAAATTTAAGGGTTAATACTGGGGATTCAGAGGCTAAGGAGATTGTATCCCCCTTCTCTTTCCCTTCAGCAACACATATGGATGATGAAAGTCAGCTCTTTCCAATGTCAGCACTTGTTGATGAAAACATCTTGGGGACTTATTCTCCATCCTTTGTCTCTCCAGCAACGTCTGGATCGAACTACTTCTCGATGTCACCCTGCCACATGGCAAACCTTGGAAGGATTAAAAATTTGCACAGTTCAGAATCTGATCTCACGGAGATCATCTCAGCCACTGCATCAGCTACCAATTCACCAATCGCAGGGTTGGATTTTTCAATTGACTCTGTTGAGCTAGACCCAAATTTCCCATTCAATGCGCCTGGATTTTTCACATGATCCCAGGCTTGAATGTAAAAGGAAGAGGCGAATAGGCAAACAAACTGGCCATGCTTCCAAAATTGATAATTTGAGCAACTAATCTTTCCCATTTTCACAAGTAGAATGAGAATGTGCCTGTACAAATTTGTACGTCAGCTAAATAATGCTAGCCAAGTTAGTATCCAGAATTGTTTAGTTATTTAGCCAAGAGAGTATCTAAAATTGTTTATGAACCTCATAATATAGAGGCCCATCTCTGAGTACAGGGGCCATAGCTATAACATTCCCATCTAGCAGTTAAGCTCTAGAAATGTTCTTTATGAATAGACCAGTGTTCCTGAGAAGCTTAAGAATCTTACTAACCACTAACCAGTCGCATTGGATTGACAACTTCTTGACAAAGGCTTTGCCGCCAACTGCTTCCTAGTATGTTGGTATCCATGGATATTGCCTTCAATTTGCAGGCCTTCACTGAACAGAAGTTGCTCTTGTTTGCCAAGAATTAAGCTAAGAGTTCTCAGATGAACAAAACCATGAACACAGATTATTTAATATGTATTTTCTTTTCTGTTTAGGTGTGTTCATAGGCCTTTCTTTAGCTAGCATAATTGCTCAATTATGTGCATGAGCGCTTGAGAATTAAAAGATAAAGTTGCTCCAAGGAAAGGAGATCAAAAATTCTTCGCATGGCACTATTTACGGTACCTGATATGAAAAATGTAACATGATTAATATTTTCTTCTGTCCTTTCTGGAGGGTGGATGGGGTTTCAGCTCCATTAATATTGTCTCAGGATGATTATTTAAACACGATACAGAATCAACCTGGAAAATTAGGTTCACAACCAAATTGCATGATTTTCGCAAACAGCAGACTGTCAATACTAGATCAAATGTATGCCAAAAGTTGTCCAAAGACAGAGGTGACGGAATTAGCTACGTATAAACATTGGCAAGGATAAGTATCCAATATAAAATGTCCGTTCTCTTAAAATTTGACATTGGATGACTTTTCCGTTTCAATACCAGAAGCCAAACTAGAGGAGGTTTCGTCTGCATTTTTCAACTTTCGAAGAGCTTGCCTCAGCCCGAGAACAACAAACAAGTTGGATAAAGTCAGCAGTGACTCAGCTCCACCATGCAACCAATCTACATTGGACAAGGAAGTTCCATATTGCACTTTTGCTGCTCAAGAGCACAAAATTTAGACAATTTTAGACTATGAGGAAGATGTACTTGATTTGCATCAAAAATTTTGATAAGGGACAGTAGTTACCATATATTCCAGCTGGGACTGGCAGAAATAACCAAGATGCAAAATGTTAGTGGTGTGGAATAGTAGCTCTCGGTAGCAAAAATATGAAGCATAGGATGGCAAAAGCAATTGCAGTCAATTTAATGGTAAGAAACTTCACTCAACATAGCGCACATTGTTCACTTTCCAAGTGGTACACCAAGTCAGGGAACTGATTGTTTAATTCCAGATGTTGAACCAGAAAACATTAAGAAGCCACTAGCAACTCATACCTAGTTTAGATTTGTTATAGTCATAATAGATAAGAAGGACAATCGGAATTAGAAATCAAAAGAGCAGAACTATTTGATTATTTGTAAATACAGTTATAGTTGGCAAAAGGATTAAGTATTGATGAATATGATAGATGGCTTTCTTTTGAAAAGAATACGCGGAAAAGGGGGAAAGACAAAGGGATAATTGCAACTTTCTTCATGTTCACACCCCAAAGAAAACACAAGAAATTCAGTGACAGGAAAAGAGCAAGAAACTCACTGGTGGCACCAACAAAGGCAAGCAGGAAATAGAATCCAAAAAGAGTGAGTTTTGGGGCAGACTTGGATTTGGTGATGTAATACAAGAAACCAATGTAGGGGAAAAGAGATAAAGCAAAGAGCGGTGGAGCTATGCTTTGTGAATCAACATTAGGTGCCCAGGGATCCACTGGCAAAAGAAACCCACCACACACTACAAGTCTCGCTCTATTTGCCAAGAATCTCCTGCCAAACTTGGATCGTTTGATTTTACTCCCAAGATTTGTCTGAGAAACGCTAGGCCGAAGTGAGTAAGAGTAAGAAGAACCCAGTGACAATTTGGGGCTCTTCAAACTCCAGAGAGGTTGTACGGAGTTCATCGCTGATATCATTTTTGCACAACGCGTAGTTTTACAGTTGTGTACCTGCAGTTCTGCGTTGGAAATTAAAGGGTGATATTGAGGAAAATTGTGTCTTTTTATTTATTTATTTTTGGAGGAAAATTGTGTTGGATATGAGCAGAGCCTTATCCTGTTTTCGAGAACTAAAATGGCCGGAGGGAAACCAGTAGGCCCAAATGCCCAGGTGCCAAAAGCCCAAAGGTTGGAATTAGATGAGAAAGACATTGCCGAGTCCTTTCCGGGCAAAGTCATTCAACATGATTAAAGAATTTTTATATGAAAAGTTCTACTACTGCTTATTATTGGTGAAAATCAAGTGAAACAAATGGAATCGGTGCCTGGGCCGGTGCCGGTGCCGGTGCCGGTGCGGTTAAGGTCATTATAATGTGGTTCGCCTGTGATGTAGGAAAGAAGAAACTTTAGTCGGACAAAGTGCATATCTTGCTCCGGCACATATTAAGGCACAAAGAAAAATTAAACGTAGAAGTGCCACATTCTGAGGAGAAAGGGAAAAGGAACATGCAGCAATATTGTCCATCGTCCTATGAACTCAAACAAAACCCCATTTAACTACTAAGTCCTAATTACTGATCCCTGCTCACTCACCTAAATACCTGTCTGCCAATGGCTGGCTGAAACATGACCAAACCTTCAAAAACCCAAAAAAAAAAATTGTAGACTTTCAGACCAACGATTGCAATTAACAATTGAATGACTTGTAAGATTGAAATCTTCTCCCCGAAATATGTACCAACTAATTAGGCAGACTAGGAACTTGGAACTCGACCAGCACTGCTTTTCATCTGATTAGCGCGATCAACAACCTTCTTTTTCATCTCTTCCATATCTGCCATAAGTCGTTCAAGTTCATCAATCTCTAGATCATCAACTTTTGGCAAATTCCATGAGGCCATCACCTTTGACTTCGCCGCTGCTGCATGCCCCTCCACTCTCTTCTCCCCTTCTTGATTACTACTGTTATTCTTGTTGTTCTTCAACACCAAACCCTTCTCCTGACCAGCCTTCTCTGTCAGATCTTTTAGGAGTCTCTTTTTCATCTGCAGGTAGTGATAAAGACAAAGCCAGACTCACCTCCCGTTTGTTCTGATGGTGATCGCCTGGAGAAGTTTCGTTTTCTTGATGATTTTCATCAGGTTTCTGGGCCCTGTAGGCCATGTAACGCTGCAGGACGGAGTCAACTGTGGGATGTCCCCAGGCATACATGTTGCCGGCCAGGGAAAAAGTGACGATTCCAATCTCATAATTGCTAATATTGCAAAGTGCACTGGCTTTCTTGAACAGCCCTTGCCGCCTTTTCGTGAAAGTCACTTGTCTTTTTGATTTATCCTCAATTTTCACGATGTCCACTTTCTTTCTCACCATCTTTAACGTTTCTTGATCACAGAGAAGAATGGGGAGAAAAGTTTGTGGAGGCAGAGAGGAGGTGTCTATACATATATGTAGGGATACGTGTGAGTGCAATGCAATGTAAATCAGCAGATTCGTCGAATACCTACTGATTCTGGAATTCTAACTTTCCTAAAACATGTTTGCACGGTCGCTGCTTCTATCCCGTGTTCTAGTAACAATCAAACAAACATCCTTGTTCATATCTAGTCTAGTAGTCGGTGGAACAAGTACACACAAGAAGGCTCAGCCCAATTATTTTGGGCATTCAGATGTTGGGCTTACAATTGAGGATAAAATCAGACACCAAGCACTAATTACGTAAAACATACAGACTGGATATACAATGAACAGTTTTGCTAGACTCCTACAGGCATCAGGATTTTTAATGGGAGTAGCTTAATACTTTATTTTAGGCATGTATAAGATTTATGCCGTTGGCTCAAAAACATTTCGTGCGATCTCATGAGATTACTACGTGGAAGACGAAAAAGTACGAGTAAATCTTATATATATTGATAGAATATATATTATCACCTTCAGATCCATGATACATGCGGTGCTACTTAGGTTAATAATACAATACAATGTGAGACAATGTATACATTCTTATTGTATAGAAGATTAATCGAAAAGTAAATAGGATAACTTACTTTTTACTTTGATTTAATGTTTTACCACATAACTCCAATATGGTTTAAAAATTTATACACAATCCACCCATGGTCTAGGCTAAAAACTAAATGTCAAAGTCAAACTAATAAATTAATAAATTAACTTTTTACTACTTTTTTTCTTTTTTTGTCCAAATACAAAAAAAAAAAAGGAAAGAAAGGACATAAAAATAGATAAATAAGAAATAGAAAATGTTAAATCTTTAAATGAAAATATTATTGTATGATTTTAAACCAAATCTTTAATAGTATTCTCTTTTGTTATTTATCTATTTTTTTTCCTTTCTTCTTTTTTGTATTTGGAGAAAGTTAAGATTTAGTAGGCCAAAAGTACAATCTTTCAAAATCATCTCTTATCTTCCCAAAGGAAAAAAAAATAAAAAAAAATAGACATGAAAAGAAAAGAGAAAAAATAGTAGTGGAAAGTGAATTTGTCAATTTAACTGTTTCGCTTTGATTTTTTAATATTGATCATTAGTTTTAACAAAAAAAAAAAAAAAACTAATAATGATACTTTAACTCAAACTGTGACGGGACTATGTATAGGTTTTTAAACTATGGGGGGTAATATGATAAATCACCAAACCACATGCGGGTAAAAAATGATTTACCCAAGTAATATGCTTGTTTGAAGGACGGTTTCACACTGGTATTTGATATAAATTCATTGCTGTTTGTAGAAAGTAGAAAAAAATTTACTACATTACCTAAGCTAGTTTGCACAAGTCGTTGAGCCATAAGAGATGATGGATAGCGGAATTGGAATTGATCAAAGGCGTTGTTGATGGTCTCCGTTAAATGTTAATGGTTAAATTCAACCTTACTAAAGGTTAATTGTATTTCTTTTGTTTGCATCATCTGAAAAGGCAAAAACATTTGGTTCCTGCATATATATTCTGCTACAGAAGGGGGATAAAGTATGAAAATTTCCAGTGTTTGTGCATCTAGTAAACTATTCTTCCAACAGGAAATTGTAAGGGCTTGTAGTGATTGTGTTACAAGGTTTGCAGCACCACACTTGCAGTCAACCGAAGTAAAATTTACAAACTGAGGGTGTTCAAGAAATTGCCATTTCCTTCTTTAAAGACAAAATTCCAAAACAAATTCACAACAACAATTTTGTAAGAAGATTCAAGTAGTCAAAAGTCAAAAGTAGACGATTCATTCCGCGTAAAGAGTTCTACCTTCTGTTGTTTCTCGCTTTTGCTATCTCCAATTTTTTTCCAGTATCGTTATTTTTGCATTGGCTTGGCCTAATAAAAGATCTTTGACTCCTTGTATTCGAACATATATATCCCAGTTTGAGGGTGGATTGAATTGAGTGATAAGATGGAAAGAATTATAAGTAAGAAATCCTGAAGTCAATCAAGGCCTTTCACTTGCGGAAAAAATCCCAATTTTCTGAATTTCGTCAAATCCATCAGGACCATCGGTCTCCTCTTCCCCAATATCAAGTAGATCACGTTATAGTGGACAAAGCAGAATGGTCCCAACTTCTCCAGTTGCCTGGTTAAAGGTATTATCATCGCTCTTGTAATTACCATCTTGTGGAGCCACATGTAACTGTCGTGAGAACTACATTTGCAATTTTACAGTCAAATATTAGCACAAGTGCCTCCAATCCAATTCGAATCCAAGAATTACAATCCAAGAGGAGTCAGAAAGACGAGCAAACCCAAATTCTGCATCTATAACAGTGAAGCAATCTAACTGGTTGGCTCAAATAGAGCCTGCTCATGCCAAACCCCATTTAGGTTAGATTGCCATAACTTGACAACTCCATCGCTGCCGGTGGTGGCCAATGTCATTCCGCTTATGTCCCACTCCATCTGCCAAACCTATACAAGAAATATAATGTTTTTGTCAACCCAAAAATAACTGGTGTGCCAGGTGAGCTGGAGGTTAAAGATGCAAGGATAAACAATTCAATGTAAAAACATTTCACAGTTCATACGTGCCAACTGACAATAAGATTTAGTAGAGAAAAATTTGTAAAGATTGGTAAAAGGTCCACGGACACAAAAGCATTGCAAAACCATATTGGGATTAGAGTGCAATATGATGTCACACCCAAAAGCCAGAAAAGCTGCACAAGTAGTTTCATACCACTATTCAGAATTGCTACCTAACACCTGAAAGGAAAATGACATCGGAGTACATAAGCTTTAGCAAATGGTACCTCGCCGTTATGACCTGAGAGCAAGGCAACCCTCTCCACGGAGAGCCTCCCATTAGGATCATGGTTTGATCCGACATGCCACATCGAAATTCCCTTGCAAGTTGCAACTGCTATCACTTCATATGGCCTGCACAAAGTACAATGCTCTTATCCACCATCATTAAACTTGAATATTTTAATCTGATTCTTATTCCAATTGCACCAATTAAGTAAAGGATCTGAGGTCCAGTGAGATGATAAAGTCCAGACTCATGTCTTGGTAGCATATAGTAGTTTTGGCTAACTGATAATGTGCTATGGTAGTCCTTGCAGCTTTATAAATGGTTTAATGTGCTCCACAATTTCAAATTATTAAATTTAACATAGTGAAAGCATTGGAATGCTTCAAGATCTAAATCACCTATAACTTTTTCATAACCAAAATCTTGCTTTAGAAGTCAAAAGAACGGAACAGAAATGTTGGATCAAGTGCCTTATGACAAAGTAGACTAATCATAACCTAAAATTGTCACATCAATAAATTGCTATCTAGCTTTATCTCCTTGCTGTTTTGATTCATGCTCTTGAAAGCTAATCTCAAATCAGAAAAACCAAATCCTATTAGGGATCTCATGTATAAAGGACAAATTCATGAAATGAACAGCTGTATGCCACCTTCCAATATTTGGTGCCCATTCAACAGCAAAAACTTGATCACCCTTATCTTCTGGCAAAGCTAATTCAGCAACAGGTAGCCATCTCTGGTGATCCTGATCAAATTCCCAAACCTGTGGAAGCCTATAAAAAGGTCATACAATGGAAACCTCCAGGGCCAGTCTCACCCGCATTTCGTTGTTCACTCAATACTTGGACAATGATGATTTTCAATTGGACAAGATAAAAAATCTCAATTAACACATACAGTGCCACCCTCACATTTAACAGAAATGGAAGCTACCTCATGATAATGCATCACCATATGGACCAACATATGTGCATTTCATGCAATAACAACTATGGGACATTTAAGGCATGCACAAGCTTAACAGTTAAACAATTGACAGGATCCTCTTCATACAACAAACAGCACACTGTGAGAAACTAAACATTTGTAACTAGTTATTCTAATAATAAACTATGTGAACAAACAAGGTTTGATGCTGAATATCAAACAGGTAAAAGAGTCAAAACCTTATGTTTCCATCAAGTGCTGTAGCGTGAGGTGAAGAAAGAAGGAAGAAAGAATCTGTAATACCTTAGAGGAATTGAGTTGCGGAATATCTGAATTGAAACCCAAAACAAAGCTTGACTGCTGGAGTTCACCCCTTTGAGGATTCCAACACATGCTGCAGACAAGCACAAAGGTCTACCAAATTTGGATGTAGATTCAATGACATTCTGAAATTCAGCCTACAAGGACAATATTCAGATCCACCATTCTCAAAAGATCAAAATATCATGTTTGTTAATGTGAATATTAAAAGTCTTCCAGCACATACAAGTATTAGGATCTGAAGGTGCAGCGGGCAGGGGAAATCTACTCAATACTTGAACCATGAATATTATTAAAAAAAACAAGGAAAGAGAGAATAAAGGGAAAAAGGAGAACAATTGCTATAAGACACAAAAGCCTTGGAACTCCGAAGATGACAGAAATCGCAGCAATACTTGCTGTGACTAGTTTGCAGTAATATAAAGTAATTAAGTGATATAGAACAACCACCTGAAGTTGCCAATTTATCAAATCCAGGGGATCAAGGAGATCAAAGATTTTCACTTGGCCATCTGAGTATGCAGCAACCTGGAAAAGACACAAAAGTGACATAATTAAGCAGCTTGTTGCACATATGGAATAAATAACAGCAGGAACGAAAAAAAAACTCAAATTTAAATTAGTTATATTAGCTAAGCCAGAGCAGTTCAATCATAAGATAAGAATGGAGATTAGCAGAACTGTAAATGTTTTGAACTCCAGGAGGGGGGCAAAAGTCAACTCTTTCTTGCAAAAACTCCTTTAAGAAGATACAGGGGGAGTAAAGAATGAGTAGCATAAGAATGGCAGAGTCATGGAATATGTCTCTCCTTATTCATTCAATAGGGCAGGGCTGAATGATTCCCTCATCCTGTTAGAAAAATTTTGCCTAAATATACATCAGAGCATCGCATCAGGAGTTCTACTATTAAGCCATTTCCTTTTGGTGATTAATTAAGTCCATTGAAAGTCACAAAAATCATCCAAAGGTTCCTTAATGAGAAATAGGAAGCCAGCCACAGATGTATATACAGCAGAAACAACACTGCATTGTCATTAAACTGGTGCATATACACCCTGTACCTCAGAATTGAGCGTACAAGAACTCTACTTGTTGAGTGCTGCAAGTAGACAATTACAGAGGTTTTACTATAGGAAGATTGTATCAGGTAGCATCTCACTTTCAGAAGCTACCCTTCTTTCCTTCGAGATGTACACATGACTAACACAACTTTATCAGGAACATTTATTATCAATATTCATAAAAGAAGCTTTGTGTAGTGAATGGAAGGATAACAAGTCTTTTCTTCCATATGTACACAAAAAAGCAATGCAACCTTAACAGGCACTACAAATTTTTGAACAACAACCTACAGAATAATGACTTAATATAGAGTAGAAAAAGCACTCAACATATGTAGCCTGTGTTCATAACCCTATAAACTTACTTTTAAGTACCATTAAGTGAACAACAAAGCATTCACTCATTGGCTAATTGGAGTTTTTCCTTCAACAACAAATAAAACCCAAAAAGAAGGGGGCCACTTAAAAGCCACACACTGATGCAGAACCAAAAAACAAAGAAGGGGGCCACTTACGAGGCACATAGTGATGCAGAAAAATAGAAAAACCTTACAAGTTATTTCGGCTCAGAAATTGGAATTTGTAATTCCCATTGCCCCACTACTAGAAATTTCAATGTAGAGTAGCAATGTTATTAAATATCCAGAAACAGTTTCTCAATTTTTTCAAGTACAATATACAGTGTCACTGCAAACAAGGCTTAGAGTGTTATATCAGGCATGCTGGATTATTCAAGCTTCAAAGACTAGGTAAAACATAGCATGAGGAATCAATGCGGCAAAAAAATACAGAGAAACTTCTTCAACACATTGATACAGTAATAGACAATATATCTAAGAGATAATTCTATCAGTAATTTCCCCATTGATCACACATGCATCAGAAAGTACAAATAATGAGAAAAGATGTTACGGGCCTTCTTCAATATAATTACAATGTAATACTCTGCAGACTATTAGATTTTGGTGGTTGAAGAAATGCAGAACTTTTAGTTCTTCCTTTTGCTATAAGCCCTTGTCAATTGTTCATGACATGACAGGCATAATGAGATTGAAGTCGTCAACAACTAAGTCCAAAACTTACCAATTTCAAACATGTGGCAAAGACTCCAAATTGAATGTCTAAAACTCGACTTGAGTTCCTGTCAAAGCGTTTGCACAGCTTCCACTGGAGAATATCAGCATCTAAAGAATTACCAAACGAATAGAATGATGAGAGTCAGGTTACATGGTCTAAGATTAAACATTTGATGCACTGATTGGTCCTACTAAACAAGCCCAGCATTTCAAAAGATTGTGGTAACAATTTTCATTTAGGACTATAACTTCAAGGATAAACACCGTGTATTAAACTCAATAAGTACCTTCCACAACTTCTTCCCACAATGAATAACTTCCATCAGAGCAAATGCAGGCAACTGCGTCTCCAAACTCTGGGGAACCCAGACAATTTTCAGAATGCTTGTTTCTTGCACCTAATTTGCATAAGAAATTGCATCATGTTTGGAATTTGGATCTCAGACAAATGCAACATCAGAATACAGCAGTTGACCATATAAAGAACAAACAACTAATTTGAGTGTTTAAGTTCACAGAAACATCAACTCCAAAGCTACAACTTTAGAAAATGAAGCATTTCCACTACAGTGAAAGTTCCTTTTATTTTTCTTTATTGCCTCAGAGCAGTGATAAGAAGAACTACACCCAGAAATGTTACTTTCTCAACACAGAAAACCCTGCTCAACGAGTAAGTTTTCGAATAAGTTTTTGTCACTAAAATCTATATCCTTTTCACAAATTAAAAAACAACAAAATCTTCAAGAAAAGATGATTATTAACTTAACAATTTAAAGCCCACTGCATTTATAGCAGCAACTAGCAAATTGCACATTAAAAAGGCAAAAAGAAGAAAGGCAAGAAATGGGTGCAGTAAATTTTTGTGACGCACCTTAAATCTGGAAGTGCAGGTGAAGGATGAAGAAGCTGGATCCTTTGAATCGTAAATGGCTAATGTCCCATTGATGGAGCCAGCAGCTAGTCTCTGCCCACTATAATTCCAAGCTGTACAAGTAGTATCCTGATCCAGTGTCAGTAGTGTCTCCTCCATCTGCTGATCCTAAACCCCTTTCTCAGATTTTTCTCTAGGGTTTTAGGTTTTTGGGTTCATTTGAAAATTTTAATGTTCTCTACTAGGTAATTGGTTTACATGCTATGATTGAAGATTACTCATATGGCCCTGGGTTGGGCTGCTTTTAATTCTGTCTCTCTAACGGGCCCAGTGACTAAGGGCTCTCTCTGCTTTTCGGCATTTTAGGAGGATGCAAATACTCCTTTGAAGGAGAATGCTGTGGGCTGAATACTTAGCTTGATTAATATTCAAAAGTTTGGGAGTGATCAAGGTTTTGTTTGATAATCTAATTCAATACTTAAAATTAATGAATTCAGTTCTTAATATGTTCAAACGCGTTTGAAAATAAAAAATTGAATATATGAATTAATTAAGTGGTAAAATTTACTCTCAAAAATAAATGATAAACTATTTACTTATTACTAAATATGATATACATTTAAATGTATTTGATTTAATAACTTAACAATTTAATAATTTAATGGATTCCAATTTTATTTTTCAGATTTCAGTTTTATCAAACGGACCTCAAGTGTAAGTCTTGAAGTGATGCTACATTAAAACAAGCTTAATTCCTTAATCCAGCTCATCTTTTTCAAGAGTTAAAACAAGCTCGATTCCTCAATGGAGCTCCTTTTTTTCTTGTAAAAGAAACATGGAAACCGTTGATTTATAAGTCACCCTGGACAAAATTTCAGAGTTGGTGGTGGACTGTGATGTAGAAGAATTTTACTTTTGCACGTTAAAGGAACTCCATCGATGAGCCACTTCAGCAAGTGCCTTAACCGATGATCCATCCTCTCTCAAAGCCCTTGCAGCTGCACCTTTAAGATCTTTCATCTTGAGCCCAAGTCCTTTCCTTCTTCTCCTCCAATTAGGCTTTTGCCAATCTTGCAACTTCTTCTTTCCCACCAGTCCATTTTCATCCACCTTAACCCTCAAGGCAACCTTCCAATCTTCAGTTAACAATACAGCATTCATCTGTTGCTCAGCATAAAAGTGGCCATGCAATCAAAGGCACCCCATGCACTATGCTCTCCAGAACTGAGTTCCACCCACAATGAGTAAGAAAACCCCAGTTGCACCATGGCTGAGGACTTGAATTTGAGGAGCCCATGAGGCTACCACAAGACCCTTCTCTTTAGTCCTCTCTGAAAACCCCTCGGGAAGAACATCGACAGGCTTTCCACGCTTTCGACACCAAAAAGGCTGCGAATTCATTTGGGCTTCTAACAGCCCAAAGAAATCTCTCTTCACTCATTTCCAGTCCAAAAGTCAATTCATTCAACTACTTCTGAGACAACGTTCCCCCGCTCCCAAACGAAACAAACAAAACCGACCCTCCGGCTGCTCATCAGACAATATCCTGGCGATTCAGATTCGTGTATTCCGCGTGATGATATTAATCATATTAATATATTATACCGCTGCCTTGAACCAACGGTCCAACCGGATAAACCGGTGGTTTCAAGGACAATACTCTACCTACCTTCAGAGCCCGAATTGGAACCGGTTCCAAGTCCATAAAACTATTAATCAATATCCCTTGTGCTGAATTGTAGCGGTCGCGTATCTGCAGCAACCTTTTGTAGGCCTTACCCTTCCTATCTTGAACCGGGTCCATGAAGTCTTCCCGTGCAACAGGAAACACCCGGGTAACTCGATTGTTCAGGCAAGTCCTATATTCGCCGGGGTAAATTTTATCCAGCTCCGGCATATGCAAGACCAAGGAGAAGCACGTAGCTGTGGTGGGATAGAATACATAAGATGGGATGCCAAATTCTTTTGCCACATCAATTGCTGAAAGACTAAAAAGATCAACAACCAATGCACAAATACGAGTACAACTACATGATGATGACCCAATTGAGAAATTAGTTCCAACTAACGCGCGGCGGGGGGACGGGAGCGAGCGGTTTACGGTCAGTGAAATGCGGACTTCAACAGGAGTGTCTTCTGTGAGGTCATGGATGTTTACCGGAGGAAGAAAGATGGAGTTGATGCTAGGAATTCAAGGAAGGCCTTCTAGGCATTGGTAGGAGAACCGTCGGTGGGGATTATGAAGGTTATGGAGAAGTTATGGTGTAAGGCAAGACGTTTGTTTGGCGAGCTCAGTGAAGGGAATGAGGTGACCCAGTCCTGGACCTGGAAGTATGATGATGTGAGGTTGAAGATGACGAGCTTCTTCCTGTTTTGTGGTTTCCATGGTGATTTTATTAAATATTGTGTGGAATGAGGAATTACAGAATCACTCGCTACTATATACTCAATAGGTAATGGAATGAGTCTGCCTATTTTTTAGATTCCTTTTCAGATGGCAACGCATCCACCAATACATGCATCGCATGCTCTATCTTCTCGGTGTTTTGGGTACTGTGCCAGTTTCTTGAAAGTAAGACTGTATTGCCTTGTTTGGATCGTGATTTTTTACGGAAAATTTTTTATATTTTTTGGAAATGTATTTTTAATTATATATATATATATATATCAAATCATCATAATATATATTTTTATAAAAATTTTTAAAAATAACAATCCAAACGATAATGATTGAGAAGAAGAATATGCACAAGTCCTTCAATACATAAGAGAAAAATAGTGAGACGAATATGAAAAGAAAAAACGTCAAAAATATCTGTGGTCTGTCCAAATTCAGACCCGAAATGTAACAGTGTTGAATACATGAACGAAATGTAGCAATCACATTCGTCTTGCAATTTAAATCAGTTGCTAGTGAAATCTCTTCCGTGGATATATTCTTCTTAAACCATTATTTGCGTTTTCGAGCTTTCTTATGATCATAATTTCTTCCTAGACTTTGAGATGTGGACCGAGTCTGGGGATGGGGATGGGGACGGAGGCGGGCACCCTCCCCACGGGGGGTCATTGGAGCGTGGGCGGGGGGAATTTTTTCTCCCCGTTTAGAAACGGGCATTTGAAAATATATATATATATGTACATAATTATATATATATTGATATTTTCAATTATACTATTAATTATACATGTCTATTAATAAAAATTATTAATTATTTATACTAACTTTATTAATATATTTATGTTAAATTCTTAACTACACTTAATACAATAACATTTTTTTCAAAAAAAAAAATACAATAATAATTTAGTGATTGTATTTGTATCAAAAGTGAAAACTTGGTTATTTTAGTTATATTTCTTTTATCATATTAGATTGTATTCAAATAACCTTTGTTTAATTATTTTTATGAGTTTCAATTGTAAAATTATAATGAATAATAATTTGGTGATGTGTTAATATTTTAGTACTTAATTATTTGTTCAAATTTAATTATAATGAAATTACATAATAAAATTTAATTTTAATATTTTCCCGTGGTGCCCTGCGAGGGAAGCGGAGCGGGACGGGGGACGGGGCGAGGTGTCCCCCGCCCCATTGCCACCCCTAGACAGAGACACATTGGTGTTGTGTTAGGAACATTATACCAAAGTTACATTACCTATACATGGATGCACTCATTTTGCAATGTACATTTATTGGGAACACAATATCAAATCAATGCTGCTTTAGTTTGCATTAAATACAGAACAATACTTTTTGCTGAGTATTAGTTTGCATCAAGCATAGAACAATACTGAAATATAAGAATTGGACATGCTTTTTTGTTGGTACAATAATAAACTACTTTTTCCCACATATTCTTTATATGTGTCAACTATCTTTCGTTGCATTTTTAGATGGCTAACAAAACTGAATGCTTCACTTTCTTTTCTGTTTCATCTCATAACAGTCAATAGTGTATCATGACATTAAGTAAAAATTTTAACTAACGGAGTATAACACATAGGCCAGCATATCTTAGAAAAGAAAACATCATAATGCTTAGAGCATTCATGAGTCTAATGGAGGACAAAATATGTGTACCAACATAAAAAGCACGAAAAAGTTTATGAGTGATAATAGTTGAAATGTTCTTACCAAAAAAAAAGTAGGGATAATTTCAAAATCCTCCCTTGAGGTTTTTGACAATTTCACTCAGTTCCTCTCAAATTTTGAAATTTTCATTTAGCTCTCTTATTTGAAACTTTTGTGTAACATGTAATCCCAAATCAAAAAAAGGTAGAATAGGAAAATAATTGTTGGAGAGAGAACGTAAATTGGCATAAAAAATGCCCTTACCAATTGTTACAACGATTGTTTTGAGAAACTATTAAATGGATTAAAACTAGGCAAAAAAAATCAAAAGTCTGGAGGTAATTTTCAAAAATATGTAGCAAATGCATTAGCAAATTTTAGATGATTTGACTAACTAAATTCTAAATTTGCAAAGCAACTCAACAAAATATAAAGGCCAACATTAAAAACTTTTAAAAAATTAAATGATATAGCACACTTTTTTAATAGTACGTAATTACTATTAGAAAAGTGTGCCATCTAGATTTGGAGGAGAAATTCACACCAACTTGCTAAAGACAAATGGCCAAATTTTTATTTTTTTTCTTCAAATATAGTCCAATAGCGATTTTTGTAGGTATTGTTTAATTAATCTCACTAAATACTTAGGATATAATAGTCATTTTGCCACACATTATATTAGCAATTGATCCCAATTCCCTATTAGGGAGATATTTGAGATTTTCAGAAGTTAAAGGGAGGCAAATGAAATTGTCAAAAACCTTAGAGAAAGTTTCTGAAATTTTACCAAAAAAATAATAAGACGAACAATAATACTCCCTCTCCGTCCCAATTATTTAGTTATGTTTTGGAAATCCAACTTTTTAAGAATAGTGGTTTACTTGTGATATTTGTACTTCTCTTTCTAATTTTTCTCTTACATATAATTAGAAAGAAACATTATATTAAAAAAAGATACTGTTCTTTGAATTTTCTAACATAACAAATGTTTTTGGACATTAAAAAATGAAAAGTATGATATTTTCTTTCAGTGTAACGACGAATAGAGCAGTTGAAATGTCACCTCCTGCCCAGTTGCTTTCTGTGCTGACATCCAACGGCCAGCCCTACCATTTCTTCTTTCCTCTATTTTAATGCATCTTTTCAATTTTACCATTCTGAAAGCTGAAAGGAAGGGGCAGCTTAGGAGCTGGACGACATTAAGTTCATTGTCTGTATTTTCTTTTCTGTCTTCTTTTGTAAATTGTTGTGGTTCATTCCACTGGAGGGGATCGAGGGAATTTGAATTCATCAACCGGCCTAATAAATTGAAGAGAAAAATACTAGGAAGGAATTAGCTTAGGAAGCAAGCGTAGTGTAAATGGAAACTAGAAAGAAAAGATCCAAAACTAGCTAGCTAAGATCCAAAACAAATTTGAATTCATCCCAAAGATCCTAACAAATTTCTAGTTTCTAGAGCACTCGAACAGGAAAGCAACTAGCTAGCCAAGAGTACATTCAACAATTGGTGGTGTTCCGTAATTGTCACTTAGATTTCAAGACACTCATCTTCTGAGCCACCTGGGCAAGTGAGATTGAAGAAGAGCCATCCAGTTCGAAAGCTCTAGCAGCAGCATCCTTGAGTTGTTTCATCTTATCTCGAACATCCTTTCCTTCATCTCCTTGAATTAGATCTTTTGCGAGTTTTGCAATTTGTTCTCTCCCCACAAGTCCGATTTTATCCGCCTTGACCTTTAAGGCAGCCTTCAAATCTTCAGTCAACACAACAGCATTCATCTTTTGCTCCGCATAAAGTGGCCATGCAATCAAAGGCACTCCATGGACAATGCTCTCCAAAACGAGTTCCAACCGCAATGACTCACGAACCCTCCGGTTGAACCATGGCTCAGGACTTGAATTTGAGGAGCCCATGAGGGAACCACTAACCCCTTTTCTTTTGTTCTCTTCAAAAACCCTTTTGGAACAAAATTCAAAGGATTATTCACGCTTTTGTTGGTAAAGAACGCAGCATTTGCAGCGGTTTGATGCGGGCTTCGAACAATCCAGAGAAATCTTTGTTCACTCATTTCCAGACCGAAAGCCATTTCATTTATTTGCTCCTGGGACAGAGTTCCTCCGCTGCCCAAACAAACGAATAAAACCGACTTTGTTGGCTGGTTATTTAACCATTCCAAACAACCTGATGATTCCGGAACAACCTCGTTTATTGATCTTGTCTGAATCAACGGTCCAACTGGATAAATCGGTGGTTTAAACCATCCCTCTTCTTTCAAAGCCTTGAGAGCACCGAATTCCAACTCCACAAAACTGTTAATCAGTATCCCATCGGCGGAACCATATTCCTTGCATAATTCGAGAAGAAGATTATAAGCATCATTCTTCCTCTCCTGAATAGCATCAAGAAAGTCTTTCCCGAGCAGTGGAACACATCCGGGTAACACCACTGCTTCGGTCAAGTCCCTATACTCACATGTATAGGTTTGATCAAGCTTTGGCAAATGTACGAGTAAGGAAAAGGACATTGCAGTCGATGTGAAAAACATGTAGGATGACATGTTTAAATCCCTAGCCAATCGGAAAGCATTTGAACCAAAAAGATCAACCACTAGAGCTGAGATAGGACGTGAGCATGGCTTGGTTATTAGCAACTGAAATAATGCATCGTGAATTGCGGGAAGAGATCGAGAAATGGTGAGGGCGATACGGGTTTCGACCCTGGTATCCTCAGGGAGGTCGTCGAAACTAACCGAAGGAAGGTAGATGGGAGTTATGGTTGCGGGTAGTGATTGAAGATAGGATTTTTGGGCGCTCATGGGTGAACCGTCTGAGGGAAGTATAAGAGTGACTAAGAAGTTATGGTGAAGAACAAGTCGTTTGGCGAATTCAGTGAGAGGAATGAGATGACCCATTCCTGGAGATGGTAAAAAGGCTATGTGAGATTGTATGGTTTCCATGGTGGAATCGGCTGTTGATGGAAGATGATTGTTATTGCTTAGGCCCTGATGCTTATAGCCAAAATTCTCAATTCTTGTTCTCTATTTATTGGTCCTTGAGACAGGATATTTTTCTTTTTTAAGAAGAAGAAAGTGTGGTTTGATTCGTTTCAATCACCGCTGTAGATCAAGAAACGCCTCCTAAATCATAGATCATTTATAGAGCTTCTTGCAAATCATTACCGATACAATATTTACATTAGCAGCGAAATTCAAACATACATTAACATGACCCTCACATCAACCTTTTTATGAATAAATGGTTTATTTTTTTCAATTGAGCCTACTTATATATATATATATATATATATATATATATATATATTTGGTGATGGTGCAAAGACCGGAAATTTCGTACTCAAATGTCTCTACCCACGTCCTAACTTCTGTAATACATCTATGTGTATCATTTTCAATTGAACATTTCTACTGCAAAGTGTGTTTGATGCATAGATTTTTCTAAATATTATTTTATTTGCATTATAAACACATTTTTTCTATCTTTATACATTTTTAATTATTTTTTATTTTACAAACATTACATCACAACAACGGTTACATGAATTATTCAAACTAATATTTTTTTCAAATAATCATTCTTTTCAAAAGAAATGAAGGCTAAATTTTTGAATACAATAAAGCCTTTATATATAAAAAAGTAGGTGCATTTTAAATGCAAATGATTTTGCATATTTATATATTTCGTATTCGTTTCCTTCAAATTTTAGCCTGGTCTGGTATTGAAAAAAAATAATGCTTTGATTTAACTAATCATTTCATTGATGAAACTGTATGAATTTTATCTGTTCGTCTATCCGTCACTTCGGTTGTTAACTTGTTAGTGAAAGTCAGCATATCTTTTAGGTTGAGCCGTGGGTTTCCCTTAGGTAGTGTGTGTGTGTACTATTTATGGTTGTTGGTGGATAAGGAAAATCATGGAATGGTTAAAAGCCGTTGGTGAGCCTTTGACAATAGTCTTGGTGTTTCCCCTCCCCCTTTCCCTCTATTCCACATCGATTGTGAGTGGTGTGTGTACTACTTAAAATCCTCAGTGTAGCCTGAAAGTCAGCATGCCTTTTGGATTGGATTGTGAGTTTTCCTTAAATAGTGTGTGTGTTATTTATAGTATGTTGTTAACTTGTTAGTGTTTGTATGAAGGTTGGAGGTCAAAATCCTTTTATTTCCCACTCTTTCTGGTATGCCATCGTTGTCTTATCCATTGCAAAATGAATCTGCAAATGATACTAAAATTGACGACAGAACAAACACCACTTAAATGGGTTTCTGATAAGTAGGCCATAGGCCTGAATCATTTTTAGGGGTTTACAATTCACTCAAATGTGTTGCCCACAAAACGGCTGCATTGGGCTGTCTTCTGTATCTCTTAATTGGGGTAGGATCCTAACTATGTCCTGAAGATGGCTGATGGGTGGGGCATTTTGGTATTAACATGCTCCTGCGCGATAGGACATGTCCGTGCGCTTTTAAGTTCAAGTTGCCCTAAAAAAAAACAAAAAAAAGGTATTAGTTCACGTTTGGGTGTTTGGAATTGAGCGAACCAAAAATTGAGGCTATGTATGGGTTCTAATTTCTTGGAAAAAATTATATTTCAAATACAAAATCTGCAGCGGGTGCTTTAGTGTATTTGTGGGTGCTCAATTGTCCTAGACAACTTAGCCATCACAAGGGACTTAAGTGTTTTTTTTTGAAAAAGAAACTTAAGTGTTTTTTTTTTGAAAAAAAAACAAAGAATTCAAACTTTGACTCCCATAAATATAGGTGTCTTTGTGGCGACTTGACTACCACAAGACACTTAGATCAGGCCCTTACTGCATTTATTTGGCCTGGTAATGGTTTAGTATCTATCCCATTGCAGGCAAGGCGTAGGTGTAGTTTGTGATGATCGATCAAAAAATTATATACATACAAAGTCTATAATAACAGCAGCCCAAAAATATTCCAAGAAAAGAAATAACTTAAAAATTTTCAAATATAACTCAACACACCTTTCTTTCTTTACCACTACCCCTACTTCCAGCCACCCAGTTCCAACCTTTTGCCACCATCACCCACACCTTGGCAACCTCTCCTCTTCCTTCACCACCGCCCAACCTCCTCTTCTCTCTTCTATCTCTTCTTCTCATTTTCCACCACCACCCCTCCCTTTCCCTATTCTTTCTTTTTCTCCTCTCTCTCCCTACAACTAGAAGGTGAATAGATGCACGAGAAAGGACGGGACGAAAAATGAGAGGGAAGAAGAAAAAGAACAGTTAAGAGTGAGAAGAGAGAGGAAACAGGCCTGGTGGTGGCTAGAGAAGAGAAGGTGGAGAGAGGTTGGTGAACCCTTGTGTCAGGGAAGATAAAAATATTTTTGAATAGGCCTTAACAAAGTTTTAAATTTTAAAAATATTTGCAAAAACATTTATAATAAAAGTTTTTAATCTAAGCCCTATGGACCCTGAAATTTCGAAGGAAGGGACTCCTCCTAATTCCTAACCAGGCTGGAGTTCTACTACAGCCACAAAACTCTCAGTCGCCTGATGTAATTTGGGAAGCATAATGGCGATAGTAGTGCACTCTTTTGATTTGCTTTGGCACTGGCTTTTCTTTCTCTGGTTCATGTGACTCATATTAGCTCTTTTCCTTCGCTTGTAATTAATATCTGTTTGACGATATGTGCAATTGTCATGGTTGTCACACTAATCATTACGGGAAATTGTGTGTTTGTTATACTGTATTTAATACACGATTTAGCTTATACTCGTCTAATTTTGTTGTGCACAATTCTTTTGATGTATGAAAAAATATACTTTCTCCGTCCTACTTTGATAGTCCTGTTTTTTTTTTTTTATCTGTTCCAAATTATGGGCCTGTTTGGAACCTGAGTTTTTTGGGAGTTTGTCTAAAACTTTACTGTAGTACACTGTAGAAGTTTTTGAAAAAATTTGTGTAAAATTTTTTGTAAGGTGAAAAATTTTTTTGTAGAAGTTTTTAAGAGGAAAAACTTTTTTTTTTCTTTTTTTCTTTCTTTTTCTCTTTCTCTTTCTTTTTCTTTCTTTCTTTCTTTTTCTTTTCTTTTCTTCTTTTCTTCTTCTTCCTTCCCTTCCCCCTTCCCCGTTACCAGCCCCCTCCCCCCCCGCAGCAACGCAGCACCCCTACCCCTCCCCTCCCCTCCCTCTGCCGTCACCCTCCCTCTCCCCTTCCCCCTCCCTCCCTTTCCCCTTCCCCTTCTTTCCTCTGCCACTCCTCTTCTCCCTCCCCCGCCACCCCCCTCTGCTCTCCACCCTTTTTCCTCCACTCTCCTTGCCACCCGCCACCCATATTCCTCCCCTCTCCCCGCCACCCGCCACCCCTTTTCCTCTCCCGTCTCCTCCGCCCGTCACCTCTTCTCCTCCCTCTTCGCCGCCGCCCCTCTTCTCCCTCTGCCCGCCAACCCCCGCTGCCTGCCACCTCCTTTTTCTCCTCCCCTCATCTATCTCCGTCACCCTCAGCAGCCTCGTCGCCCTTGTGCGAACAGATCGCATCCCCTCCCCTCCACTTTTGCGATCTGGTCATGGGACCAGATCTGGTCGCTGGAGGGGGAGGGTTGCGGGGGACACACAAAAAAAAAAAAAAGAGGAATGCAGTCAAATTGGGTAAAGGAGGAGGATGGCAGGGAGAGGGAGAAAGGCAAAAAAAAAAAAAAAGAAAATGGCGCCGGAGGTGGTGTGTGGTCGGTGACGGAGGTGGTGGACTGGGTTGGGATGGTAGAGGAAGAAGAAAGCCAAAGGGAGGGGTATTTTTTTATGTGTGTTTTGTGTATTGGGTTGGGATGGTGGAGGAATTTGTGTGTGTTTTGTGTATTTTGAAGTGTGTAGGTAAAAAATTTTGAGAAGTTTTTGGGTTCCTGTAGCAAAAGTTGTTAAAAAACTTGTAGGTAAAAAACTTGCCCAAAAAACTAGCTTCCAAACAGGGCCTATAGTTCACTTCTCAATTGAAGAATGTAGTTGTATTTTAATTTTTCTAAAATACCCTTATTCAATGTAAGTTGTTGTTACTATAAATCTACTCCATTTTATAAGAGTTGATTTTTTTTTTACCATCAATTTAAATTCCCATAAAATTGTACTCTAACATATAATTTCCGTGAAAGCGATGCTAATTCAACCGACAACCCGACGTTCGAGAGTTATCCGTCCCTTTTGAGCAGATCTCTGAGAGCTGTCCTGTTTACTGGTTTGGTTATTTACTACGCTACATATTAAAACGCTGTTTGATGATTACGATTTTGAGCGGTCCAACCTCATTCAAAAACAAAAGGACTACCAACCTGCAACAACCTCATTAATTGGGGAAGGTAAGGATAATACATACATGATACAGACAAGGGATCAATTATGAGCCTTTACTCCTTTTTTGGAGGTACAAGGGAGAGGCCATAAGTCCCTTAACAAGGAATGAAATGGGCATGTGACATCATTATCCCGGCCCTAAAGTTTCTCCGAGAGCTGCTGGTGGCAAACGCCATCATCCGTCGTCCGCCAGGATTATTAAGCCCAAAGGAAGGAACCACGGCCACCACCTCTTTAGAATGGCTGAAAAAAAGGAAGGGGATTGGAAGGATTGGATGAGGTAGAATTAAATGCATATACCTTGGCAAGGTTCTCAAATGCCACGAGATCACGGATTAAAGTTACTTTGGAAGTTCATTTCACTCTTATGTCCATTTTTTTATCATGGAACAACTTAAAAAAACAAATATGGAAATTGGCCAAACATGGAAAATACATACCTAATCTACAAGTCACTAGGAGTAGTAGCCAGCCAAAATTGACTTTGGCTCTATTGCATCTCTTTCTCTAAAACGAAAGAAAAATCTATTCATTATACGCATTAAAGATGTGCCAAATGTCAGAATTATAAGAAAGACAAAAAGGGTAGAAACCCAAATACATAAAATACAATCACTACGGAGCATGACACTGTACAACTGGTTATACAATCATTAGGGAATATTATTTCAGTTTAGTTCGTAGGCACGTCTAAAATTTTACTGATTATGGAAATATTCACACTGCCGCAGTTTCTATATATCTAATCAAGCACAAGAAATACCCATGGAACTAACGGCAAATCGATCGGATGCAGTTCTTGTAACCAAAGATTTGTACTCGGGTGAAAGACCATCGAACTCCGAAACTTCTGGAATAGTTGAAAGAGCCCCGACTTGTCAATGTCGTAGACCACGTAAAATCCATCCCGCGTGGCCTGCTGCTCATTAGCGGGAAAGAAAGGATTCTTGTTACCATTTTGTGCCTTGGGCTTGAATACAGATCGAAGAAACTTGTGAAACGAACGCGAAATTTTGGAGGACTTCTTAGACATGGGCTGAGGCGGCTGAGATGGCGGCTGGTGGTGATTACCACCATCAATCACACGACGATCAGATAAGTGGGGCATTGACAGAGTTCTTGAATGGATGGCCGAGTCAAGTTGGCGTTCAAACGACTTGAGCTCGAAAGAGTCGTACAGGGAGCTTCCACAGTCCCAAAGAAGTGGATCGGCGGCCGCATCAGCTGGTTGTTCTGCCGATTTAGAAATCTTAGCTTGGTTTTCCAGGGGCCTCGCGGTGGCCTGTGGTTCGTTTTTGCCATTTACCTCGGATTGGTATTCTTTCTGCTGGACTAACACGAGTGTAGGAGTCTCTGCAGATTCGTTCTTGGCAAACTTGGTTTGGCTTTCTTTCTTCAGCTGCTCGACTGGTTTTTCCATCATCTTTTGAGTAGTTTGGAGATTGGAAGGATTGGAGAGATCAGGGATGACTATATATTTTGGTGTGGCGTCTTGTGGAGACTATTTTGACTGCTGCTATTAAAACAACTACTTGACTCTTCATCAAGTGGATAACGAGGGGAAGGGAGGAAGTTTCTGACTTCTGGTTGGTTGTGCGGGCTGAAGGGTTAAGATTTCAAAGTTCAAACACGGTAGCTACGAGTGAAGGAGTCTATACCATATGAACAAGCAAAGTTTCACGCCTTTGTTGTGGTAAGTAGCTCGTGTAGACCGGTAGCGGCCACGTCCCCGTTTCTCTAACTCTGAAATCTCATTACCTGGCCTTGCGGGCAGTGTAAACCCAGCATTAATTAGGAGGGGATGGTTGGCCATAAAGACTTTTACGCTTTCAGTTTAATCAACGTAAGTTAGGTCAACTAAAGGCTGGGGGAAGGAAAAAGAAACTCTTTTATCATCACGTTTAATTGTTATGGTTCTTTGGTACTAATAAAATACGATCCAAAATGTGCAGGCTTCTCTTCTCTTCTCTTCTCCGAGGAAGAATTAATAGGAAGATTCCTCTCATAAGAAAGCATCTGGAGTACTGTCATTATTGTTTTGTAATGATGTGGCAGTCTGAATAGATGTGTTTACATGCGGACAAAACAGCAGGAAACTCAACTGTTTGAAGTCAAATTCTCGCCCTTTTCTTTTTTTATGCACCAATAATGAAGTTTCATTCAGATATAATTGTGGCGTGCTGGCCATAATGGACCAAGCACATTTAGAAGTTTAGTAGTTCTAGAATTAGATTTATTATTTGATAATTAAATTATAATTAGTTTAGGAAGCAGCTAGAGTGATTAATTGATTTTGTTTGCCCCCACGTGAATGGGCTTTTGGTTGGCGCCTCTTCCTCGGGACCGTCAGGTCCTGGGGTCGAACCTCCGCAGCAACATCGGCTTCTCCGTGCATCTAACGTGCTAGGTCTGGTTGGGGGCGCTGGACCGGACCGAAGTGGGATTAGTCGGGCCGCCTTTACGGACTTGACCCGGACACCCACTCCGTCGACAAAAAAAAAAGATTAATTGATTTTGTTTCCCTATGTACTGCCGCGGTTGCATCACTCGAGCAAACAATCAGAATAATAGTATTGATTTAACAAAAATTACTTCCATGCCACGTTATTATCCATCCATGCAATCGCATAATAATTTCTTTCTTGGCTTACAGAACTTCGGTTCTTGGTTTGAGAAATATTAAGTGTGTTTAGACAGTAGATTATTTGGGATAATTTTATGTAAAAGATATACGCTGTAGCATTTTTTGATGTGATATATGTGAAATAAAAGGACGGTTAAAAAATGTGTTGATCATGCAAATAATTTTTTGATTTTTTTACAAATAAGTACCTATTCAAATTGTTTTCTGCTGCTTTTTTTTTTTTTTTTTTTGTTATGCTAACGAATTGCCCTATTTCTTACTGGACAAAAAGGGGTGTTGATCCTCATAACTTGTGCCACACAATACCGTTCAAAATTTTAAACATTTTTTAGCATAAATTTAGATAAACAAAACATCACCACAAGCCTACGCCAAAGGGAAAACAACTGGATTCCGCCGGTTTGGGTGATCATTGGGTCAATTGGAAAGAAAGAGTGAACCGGAAGGACGGTTTACCCAGAATTCATATGTCGGTGATGGCATTTTAATAGTTTGGGTTAAGGTTGGTGCCAAGATCAGGATACCATAATAAATTAATAACAAGCGTGGGGAGCAAGTGCTTAATAAAGAAGGCATTCTGACGCCACCAAATTACTTTCCTCAAAATACTACTCGTAAATTGCTTTCCTTGAGTGGATTTTCTCGTACGCTGTTATTATGTTTTCCTTAGTCGGAGCCGCCAATTGTCTAGAGACTCAATTTTTCTAACGCACCGTCCAGACCTTCGAAGTTGGACTCCAGCATTGTATTGTTTGATAATCAATTCAACACTTAAATTTAATAGATTCAAATCTTAACATATTCATCATACGTGTTTAGTAATCAAAACAAGGCAAAATTAATGTGATATATGCTCAAATACATCAAATTTAATACTTAACAATTCATCAATTTAATAGATTCAGATTTCAATTTTCAATTTTTAGATTTCAATTTTATCAAACGCACCCTTAGTCATTAGAAAAGATAAATCCTTAATTACCCCACCCCACCAAAAAAAAGACTCAATTATTATATTTCGATTTTCTTTTATCTCTATATATACTTAATTATGGATACCATATGCAGTTGATTTTTCAAATTATGGACACATAGTTTTAAGATTTTACCCTTAGTGGCCATATAATCATACACTTGACGAGGGATCGTTACATTAGAGAGAGAGAGAGAGAGAGCCATTGATCTATTAGTTTTTAAGTAGCTTATTGTGGAATTTACTACACAGATGAGACCAGTCCATGAAGAGAAATCTTCTCCAAGTACTCAGATTTCCTTGAAGAAAAAGCTACCGCAGAGATTGAAGTCGATGTCGATCCCTTCCCACAATCACGTGAAGGTGATTCATAACAATATAGAGTAACAAGAAAATATCTTGATGTCAAAACGCCATATTTCCTGCTTGAAGGATATGGTTTTGGCTCCTGTACGCAGCACTTGTTTTTCTCATCTGACTTCTTCGTATGCGTTAAAAAATGGTCCAAACTGAGAATGAGACTTCATTTGATTATTTGAAGATGATGCTATGGAGATATCTTTAGAAATTGATTTTGTAGAAAAAGTCCAACAAACTCGACATCTCACTGCTGAACTCTGCCTTGACATTCTCTTGGTCTGATTCCCCACCTTCAACTGCAGTTAACCTACTCGGCTCCTGTCCATGTCTGCCTGGCTTGCTAGTACCATCAACACTTGTAACCCACACAATTATCCTGTCATGAAATTGTCATATTACCTCTCTACACCGTTGTCCACTTATATAGAACTCACAGGTTCACCTAAAAATCATATGATTATTTAGAAGCCTCCATGTAGTATTATATTTCGTATTCTGAGAGTCTAAAAGTGTTTCATAATTTTAGATAAAGGAAAATTTTATTAATGTGTGTGCGGCGACCACGCTGATTTTAAAATTATCCTCTTTACCATAGTACACGTTCAATAAAGGATGTTATAAGTAAGGAGTGCTTATCAAACAATAAAACTAGACCATGCCACAACAACACGACAAATATATTCTTCAATACCATTAATATACTGATAATATATACAATTTTCACCTTTTGCATGAAAATTCATACAAGAAAAGGATGTTTGAGGACTTCTAATCATTTTCTGCGACGAATAGTGATTTTTTTTTTTTTTTCAATAGCGACGGATAGAGTTCTTAGCACCTAAAATCCTATGGCAACATAAAGCTTCTATATTTGGACACTCCCTTGAAGGATCAATACAATGCTAAAGGTTAACCTTACGCCTGCTACACAGATTCACGTCAATCCTCCAATAGCCCAATTCCATACATAGTAAAGTTCATTAAAACGCCAAGAAAACGGCATGGGGATTGTTGCAATACTCTGCACTGGGGATCTTTTTGGGTTTTAATCTGTGTGTGTGTATTGGTGACTGGGAAGAGGTGGGCTGCAGTGGCTGGGGACAAATGCAGAACAAATTATCGTAAGCAGTTGCCGGCGCTAAAGCCAAAACGAAAACAGTTGTCTCAGTGCTAAATGATTGTCCTCCTCTGGTTGTAGCCTTGTCAACTCAATTCGAGGACCATAAAACGCACTAAAGGTGGTTTATCAATCAAGCAGACAAGACAAAAAGAGAAGAGGGACTGAGGGACTTATCTATGATCGCCCTATCTATGATCGCAAGTTTACGCAGTTACATCGATGGTTGTCGGACAGGGTGGTGAGTACCTTGGTACTTCTTTCCTAAATAAGGTCTTGAGTTCGAATTTCTTTAACAGTGATGGAGGAGAAAATAACATTAAGAGAGTCGCGTCACCCTGAAACGAGTTCCATAGCTCGATGCGAATTTCTCCATGTATAGAGTTTCAATATAGTCAGCTAATTTTTCCATGTACTCTTGATTCTTGTAAAATAAATGCGCACTTGCATATTTCTATAGGTCGATGACGCTTAAAAAGCATTTAACCAAATAAAATTCATCTGGAAACATTTGTTTAGACTTAATTAGTGTTCTTTGAGAAGGAAGACTAGGCATTTAATGCTATGGGCACAAATCTTTATTCTATAAGACAATAATTAACACTGATTGACCATAATGATTAAAAGATAATCTTCCCTGCGAAGGGTCCAAGTTTATGTTTAGTCTAAGAAATCGGGCGATCAGGTTTCTAAAAGACTTCACGTCATCAAATTCATAAAGAATACTGCTCAATCTGTAAAATTGCACGATGCTGAGCACAATGACCTGGATTCTTGTTGCCATTAGTATGAGCAAGACCCACAAAATAAGGGGGACAGCAATGAATGCATGCTTTCCTCGAGATTTGCTTTATTAATCTTTATCTATTCATGGCTCAGCTGCTTTGAGTTTGACCCAAATGAACAAAACTCGTGACGAGCACGAACGTGTAATTTGGTTGCCATAGAAGTCTTTTTCTGGATGGACTGAAACCTATCTATGGTATATATCGGTAGTTGAGGCTGAAGTATTGGGGCCTGCTGGCAAATGCTGATTTGTTGCACGCCACCACCTTGATTGCTTTATTTCTCTTTGGATAATGACAAATGGAAGATTTTTTCAATAAAGATTGAATAGATATCTCTACCCTAGCAGCGACCTAAGATCAATTGTGGGTTTTTCTTTGTAGTTTCATGCCTCTTTATAACTCTTATTACTAGTTTTTGTTTAGAAATTTGCCGTCCTGCCACGAATTCTTTATAATCAAGAATACTGGTAATGCCGAAGTAACAATTTCACCCTGATTACCAATGGGGTTATTCTACTCTCTTTTCAGTAAATTAACAATTAACATAAACTCTGGCATAGACGCTCGAGTAAGGCTTTGTTTTGTGGGTTGGGAAAGGTGGAAGTGGGGGAGTTGGCGGGGATCATAAGCTGCTTTCCTAGCATTAGCAGTTGTTTATGATTCTCCTCCCTCCTGTTAACTCGCTTACTACATAATGCTAGATTCATTAAGAAAATATCACAGCACAGAATTTGGAGCTTGCACAACATACTTTATAAGGGAAGAGACAAAAAGAGGCTGGACCCTACACAAGGTCATGGTCGATTCCTAAAATTCCATGTACACCTGGTGAATGATCTGGTTTGAGGGAAAAGTAATTGAAACACCACAGAAAGGATTCATGATTCATTTGACCATAATTTCTGCATGATTGCTGTAAACTAAACTCGCAGTTTCCCTATATCTTCCGCCGTTAGTGAAACAATAACATGAAGGAGTAGCAGATTATGATTCGTATTGTGAAGTGTCTCTTTCAGTTCTATAACTTTTTAAAAT